AGTAGTAAAACCATTTTCCAACAGTAATATCTACGTAATAATGATCTAACATAATGACATGTGCTTTATTTTTGCAGTGCTTTTGAAGTTGTATCAGTTGAGTTTGCCTTGGGAAACTTGATTGCCAAAGAGAAGCAGGTACTGCACTCCTTCACAAAAACAGATACATGGATGCTAAATTAATCCAGTGGAAGGATAGTTCAGCACTGCAACTTGATTGCTTTCAGGTTGACATCTTTTTAGATTGCCGAACCATTGAGAGAATTCATTGTGAAAAATTACATAACACAGTATCTCATTGACTCAAAATAAAATGTTACAACATTGTGCATTTACATCTTTCTAACCAAGCTTGGCAAGAACATTATTCAGAGTGGAAACAGTTTCAGCATAGTACTTTTCTGCCTTTGAGCTGCTCTTGATCTTTGCTGCATAGTCCAGCTGATAAAAACACAATTTTGTCAGAATCCAGTTTCATACGTGTCGTTAAAAATTTTAAGAAGGAAAAGGCTAGAATTAATAGGGCTCACATTGCCAATGTCTTGGAAGAGCTTTCCTGTGAGCTCCTTCAGGGCTTTCTTCTCGTCTTTTGACTTAGCGGAAATCACAGTGTTGAGGTCATAACGGAGGTATTCTGCCTTTGAGCGCAGGTCATTTTGGACATAAGGCCATGCCTTCTTCTCTATAAGCGCCTTCACGTTGAGAATGTCTTTGGCAGATTCCTTTGCCCTCAATGCCGCCTGATCTGGTGACAATGGTTGGATGAAAAACCTCGACTTCAGGGGCAAGTCAAGGTCTCTTGGCTCGTCAGAGTTCAAGGTTCCAGCTGCAAATACAGAATTACCAAGCAGGGTAAGTAGTAGATGCAGCAAAAGTGTGAATACTAGATTATTTAAATGAATACTGAGAATTTGACATATTGAAAAAGTTTCAGAAGAAAACTTTAACTTCAATCTGACATGCCAACACTGATCAACATAGAAAACAATGAAAACATAAAAAAGAGCATTTGACCCCCAAAATGATGCAATACGGCCAAAATCCCAATAGCTCTAAGGTTTTGCCTTCAAATTTTGTACAAATGCTCATTTGTTCTCGAAAAAAGTGGGATTATTTGTCAGAATCCCACACCAGAATCCATGAGTTCCCTATCCGCACATATTGAATTATAGTCTAATATCAAATGCTGGAACAATGCAATATTGAGCCGACTGTAGCAATTAATAAATTTAAAATTCACAATTGTGACCATTCCAATTTGAACTTAATGCCTCGGGCCCAGAAATACTCGATCTGATCCCAGCCAGTACAATCAGTAATGTATATACAATACTTACGCAGTCCACCGGAGGGGGGTGGTGGTGGTCCAACCTTGATGGGCTTGGCATCAGCTAGTACGGCTTGAACAAAAGAACCTGTAGCAATCCCAGCTGCAACAAGTCCCAACATGGCGCGGCGGCTGGTTTCTGGCTCAGCTGACCCTTGCTGGGCTCTAATGCTGAAATTTGGTCTGGCCAGAGCAATCTTGCTGCTGCTAGCTGTGGTAAAGCGGCCTGAGCCACTAAGCTGAAGGCTGCCTTCCATGACAGCTTGAGAAGAGCCTAGCAATCCAGCCATTGAAGCCATTCCTTGACCTACTTAGTTTTGTCTCTAGAAAATTTTTTGGAAACTTTTTTAGGCAAAGTAATGGATGGGGTGACGATTTTCTATATGATTATGTGATGCAGAGTGAATACATAGAGCCCACCTTATCTGTGTTTGGATATGCCCACAGCCAATCAAACTTTGAGTTCTTGAAATGTAGGATTAGGTTCTGTTTCCTGCAATAGTACTGCGACACGTGGAATAGAAAGATTTCCATCTCAGCATTTTGGAATTTCATCCCACATTGATGGTTAAGGCCTCAAGTATTATCTAAAATGATAAGATTTTTTTTTCAAAATGCCGTTATCAGTATTTGTAAATTAACTCATTAATCTTCTTTGGAGTCAAATGGATTTACCTAGGGTCGATTTAACTTAGAGGTGGCAATGAGGCTCGGCCCTAATGCCCACGAGCTAGATTTCAGCTCGCGAAATCGTTCAATTTCTTTTTTTTTTTTTAAATAGATAAACCCTCCTCCTTTATCCAGATTTGAGATCGGCTACTTAAATTTCGAGTAGTTGGAGTTAAAAATTGTACACGAACAACTTGTTACGTGTACAATTTAAAAATAAAAATAACAATAGTATTATAAAATAATAAATTTTGATTAATATGGTTAAATTAAATATCACTTACCTGATGACATGCAATTTCAACATATTTATCTTATAGTTTGAAATGAGCGTCTTCCCAATCTTTCAAGCATATTAATACTTCCAAAATGTCTTCTTTCAGTCGGCTCTTATCTCGGATAAAACCTTCTTACCTGCACTAAAAGGAAACTTCGAAACTACAATGTTAACCGGAAGTGTTAGTAGGTCTTTTACTATCACATAAATCACTAGCCATCGTCATTCGCACTTTCACCAAAATTCAATTATTTTTTCTGAATTTTTTTTAATTGTTTTGTTATTAAGCATATTATAATTAAAGTAATCAATTAATTCAATATGCAATGCATTTGAACTTGTATCCGATATTTGATTACATGCGATAGACAAACTACTATTAGAGGAACCTATTGCATTTGCATTATATCTATACGTGTTAATGCATTCGAATAAAGTTAATATTTCGGCATCGTCTTCTGCAATATCAGCAGGAGGAGTAGGTGCAGAGGATACCTGACTAATATTTGCAACCATTCGTTCTGAATATAATTCATACATTTCATATAAAGTTCGTTCTAAATATCTATAGGAGATATGTGTATTAAAAGTTAAAACTTTTGAAATATAATCAATTACATATTTAGTACATGATAAATTGTATCGAGGGTCCATGATGTATGCTAAATGAAATAGCATAGGTAAGTTTTCCCAATATTTTCTAAAATTTAATTCCATAAAATATATAATTGTACTAAAATCGGGTTCATTTTTGCTTTTATGAAAAACTCTTGCAATTATATAAAGACTTTCAAGCACCATACAACTAGTGAGATGATAAACTCCAAATAAAATATTTGTAAAGTCAAAAAACTTGTCAATTTTTTTAAATTTTAAAATGTAAAAATCAATCGGATTCATCCAAAATAGTTTCATTATCATTTCTAATATGTCTATTGTTATAAAATTCAGTTATTAAATATTCAAAACCTTCGCATGATTTTAATAATAAGTAAATGTAGTTCCATCTATAATCTATACCACTAACAAATATTTTCGTATTCGTCACCCCAAATTCGACACAAAATTTCTCGAAAGCTTGTTTTCTATTAGGTAAAATCGTGATATATACTAGTGCATTCATAATTCTTTGAATTTCATTCTTAATATGTTTCAAATCATCTTGCACAATTAAATAAAAAATAGGCGCACACAACGAATGTGAAACAAATAACCACCAAAATCGGGCTGCAATACCCCATACAATTTATCGATAAGTGCATTATTAACACTAGTGTTGTTGAATTTAAAAGAACGAATTTTATTCTTGCTATGATATTCTCTAATGATGTTCATAATAGCTTTATATATATTGTTAACGTTGTGAGAGAACTTAAAAATTTTAAAAACAATTATTTTTTTGTGCATACATCAAAATGGGTCTATATAGTGTGCTCTTGTAGTAATATAACCTTTTTTCTATTAATCCATTTATATCAGAAGTTAGAGAAATAACACCCTCATATTTTTACAAATCAGTAATTAATTGCTTCTATGTATGAAGGAAATATTCTATTGTATTTGAAAAAAGAGTGTTTCGACTTACCCCAATGTATTTCGGTTGAAGATATTCTCTCACGTACGAGATGAAATATTGGTTGTCCACTATTGTTAGAAGCAACTTAACAGTGGCAACGAACTTCACCATTCCCGTTCGAGCTTTCTCCTCTGAATATATCCATTTGGAAAGTGGTGAAAAAGTAGAACCAACGCCTGGACTACCAAATTGCAGTTGCGTTTGATCGGCAGCAAAAAGCCTATGTTTAGCCCCACATGTTTTGTAGTAACGATTGAGATAGGTGGTACCAATACCTTTTTGCCATGACAATCGTTGTTGACAGTTTTTACATATTGCTTTAGACTCTACGACTTCATTGACACACTTATCATTGGAATCAATTTGAAGTGATCCCAACACCTGAAATATAGGCCTTTTAAAGGAAAATTCCCCTTATGCTATTGTTAAACCCTAATTTCAATAATGATGACGATGAACAATCAGAATCAATTAGTTCAATCTAGTCCTGTCCAAACTTCAGGCCAACTCTAAAGTACATTGAAGATGAGATTGAAAGACAAGAACCATAAAGAAAAACAAATTTCATTTACTTCTTTTTGAAGTTTGTTTGTGTTCATCCTAGTATAATATTAAAATTAAATAAATAAAAGTAGAATGATATCACCAAAAATTGACGAAATATGATTGAGTATTCAAATTTAAATTGCAGTCCTTTTCCGTTCGTCTTCCACGTTTATATGTTTCTATTTTCTTGGCTGCCAATCTCTCGGTTTGTGAGTAATTCTTTTTTTATTTCCAAGATGCCACCAATGTTCCTCCAATTTTTAGTCTTTGTATGCGTGTATATATGAGTAAATCTCTTCTGCTTCGATTTCTGTGTGTATGGATAATTAATTCAGCCCAGCCTCAATTGTGTGTATATATATAATATATTTCAGCAAAGCTGCCCAGTTTATTTTTTTCCCCAAAGCTGGCCGCCGATTCTCCTCTATTTCTCTCCGTTTGCGTAGAAATATATTCTCCTCTCTCTCCTCGATTCCAGTCTCCGTATGCTTCAGCCGCCCTTTTTTCTCCAGCCTCTTATCTTTTTTTCTCTTCTTCTATGCGTGTGTGTGGAGGTCCAATTAAATTAATGCTAGCTTCCAAGTCCACAATTCTTACATGTAATGCAAGTTAGTCCTTGAGTCCACTTAATTGTGCAACCAATGCTAATTTAATCCATGTACTTTGGATTTTGCCATTTTTTGTCACTTCTTGCTTCTTCCTTCAATTCATTTTTCGTCCATAGAGTTTTATCTACTAAACATAAAATATAACAATTTAGAATATATTTTATAAAAAAACTATCAAATATCGTTATTTTCGACCCCGAATAAGTGTATAAAATTACAAGTGGGAGGATGATGGCATCTCAGATCACTTAAATCATAGCCAACAATACTTTTGTTCACTGGATTAGGATCTTTTACCACTAACCATTATGACTTTTTCATTAAGTTGGTGAATTTCCATATCGTAGTAGTTGGATGAGTATTTTGTTGTTGATAAAATGAACTATAGAATCTATTACCTGCAAGGGCGGATACAGACAATTAAAGTTAGAGGGGGTACAATCGAACTTGCAAATAAATTGGGAGAAATTTTACAATCGAAAATTTACATAAAAAAAAATAAAAATCATGCACCATATAATTTTGCATCCAAAAATT